GTGCTTAAAACAGCCCCTGCCATAGAGAGCACTTAGCTCTTCTGTTTATTATGGCAATCCGATGGCTGCGACAGGGAAAGAAATACACAATGTAACAAGATGATTATTGGTTGATATCTTTCCCTTATTCTGCTTGAGGAAGAATTTAAGACGTGGGGTAGGGGACAAGAGTTTCAAATCAGCTCAATTCTGCCTCATTCTCAAAGGAAAACACGAGTTACTTACTGGAGTACTGGGGAGAAATCTCACTTTTCTTTGCTGAATGACCTGGGTCCTGAATGACCTGGGTCCTATCAGTGGGACCTAATCTTTCCCCGGAAAACATTCGTCTGTTCAGATCCCTCAGAAACAGCCCCTGTTCCTTAGTGCTGTTAATATATCCCAAGAGTTGGGCTGAACTTTTCCAGAATAGCCATGACTCCTGCATTCCAGAAATTCCATCTCTACTCTTGGTAGGCTGGCTTGAAAGAGAAATGAAAAAAGCAGGGAGAGAGGTGTGAGGGGGATACAAGAGGGAATAGATAAATGTTTGGAAATATTACGGGGTCAACATTAGGAAATCTGTCTATGTCACCCCCTGTATTAACAGATTAAAGGATGGCGCACCTGGCTGGCTCAGTCGGTTGAGCATGGGACTCTTGATCTCAGGGTTGAGAGTTTGAGCCCCACATTGGGTATAGAGCCTACAAAAAACAAAAAGAAAAACAACCCCCCCAAAAAACAGATTAAAGGAGAAGCACTGTTATCATCTCAGCCTGTGCCAAAAAAGCATTTGATGAAATTTAATGCCCATTCCTAATGGGCAGTGGAGAGTAGGGAACTAAATAAAGAAGAGCTAAAAATAGGAAGTCACTGTCATTACTTGCAAACTATATCATCATTTAATTGAAAAACCTAAGAGAATCAATGACAATCTATTAGAGAGATCAGTAATGTGGCCAGATACAAGATCTGCATCCAGAAAGCCGTTGCTTTCCTATATTCTGGCAAATAAAAAAATGAATTAGAAAATGTAATTTTACTTATTTTTTATTTTTATTTATTTTTTTAAGATTTATTTATTTTATTTTGAGAGAGAGCGTGTGTGTGTGTGTGTGAGAGAGAGAGAGAGAGAGAGCAGGGGGAGGGGCAGAGGGAGAGGAGAATCCCAAGCAGACACGCTGCTAAGCAGGGAGCCTGACACAGGGCTCAACCCCGAGATCACAGCCTGAGCCAAAGTCAAGAGTCAGACACTCAACCAACTGAGCCACCCAGGCGCCCCATTAAAGATTTAAAATTTTAAGTAATCTCTACACCCAGTGCAGGGCTCGAACCCACAGCCCTGAGATTAAGGGTCGCACATTCTACTGACTGAGCCAGCCAGGCTCCCCAGAAAATGCAATTTTAAAAAAGGGCTGGTTCACAATATAATAAAGACTAGACAATAACCAGTAATAAACTTATCAAGAAATAGACAAAACTCATGTGAGGAAAGCTATGAAATTTTACTGAGGATTATAAAGTGAATAATGAAAAGAGATACAATGTTCCTAGATAGAAAGGCTTGATATTGTAAAGATGTCAGTTGTCCTCATATTAATTTATAAACTCAAAATAATCCCAATTAAAATCTTAAGCAGGTTTTTTTCACAGAATTCTGTAAGCTGATTCCAAAATCATATGCAAGACCAGATGCCCAAGAACAGTCAAGAAAAAGAACAAGGTGATGTGTAATAGAACTACAGCAAGTTCCTGCAAAAGGAACATATCAGTAGGGAAGAATGGAGCGCCCAGAAATAAATTCATGTTCATATGAGAATTTAATTCTGTTAAATGTGCCATTTCAAACGGGTAGAGAAAGAATGCACTTCAATAAAAGATAAAATCGATGGGGTGCCTGGGTGGCTCAGTCGGTTAAGCGGCTGCCTTCAGCTCAGGTCACGATCCCAGAGTCCTGGGATCGAGCCCCGCATCGGGCTCCCTGCTCAGTGGGGAGCCTGCTTCTCCCTCTCCTTCTCCCTGCTGCTCTGCCTACTTGTGCTCTTGATCTCTCTGTCAAATAAGTAAAATCTTTAAAAAAATAAATAAAATAAATGATATAATTGCTTATCATTTGGAAAGAAAAGATATTTAGAAACCTCATTCATAAAAAAATGAATTCCATCTGGATAAAGACCTAAATGTAAGAAAGAAAAAGTGTCAGACAGAAATATAAGAAAATTACCTTGGGGAAGGACTGTCTTCTTAAATATGATATAAGAACCATAAAAGAGAAGGTTGACACATTTAGCCATTTAAAAATGGAAAACTTCTGTATGTCCAGGGTAGGATTTTTTCCCAAGAATGCATGGTTGGTTTGATGCCAAAAATAATATCAAAAAGTTTACCACATCAACAAAATAAAGGAGAAAAAAAACCCCACATAAACATGTCAGGAGATGCTGAAAGCTCATTAAATAAAATTCTAGACATTCCTGATAAGTCTAAGTTAAATAAGAGCAGAGGAAATTCCTATGATGATAATTAACTATTTGTCCAAAATTAATTTCTAATTAGTGAAGCACTAACGCCAGTTCCTTTAAGATCAAGAGCAAGACAGGATGCCCGTTATCATTATTCAACATTGTTTTGGAAGTTCTAGGGAGTGCAATACATAAGAAATAAAATAGTTGGTATAACCATGGAGAAGAAAAGTAAAAAAAGAAGTGTTTTTTTCCCCTGATATATAATTGTGTACTCAGAAAACCCAATAAGCTTTAATAAAAAACAATTGGAATTAATCAGAAAGTTTAAGGGTGGTGGGTCGAAGGCAAATCTATAATTATCAATTGTGTTTCTCCATACTAGCAATCAGTATGGAAATGGGGAAAGGTGCTCCATTCATAAGAGCAATTAAACTACTTGGAAATTATATTAAAAAGACAATTACAGAACCTATCTAAAGAGATGAAAAACTATAAAATCTTAGGGGGCGCCTGGGTGGCTCCGTCCTTAAGCATCTGCCTTCAGCTCAGGTCATGATCCCAGGGTCCTAGGATCGAGCCCCGCATCGGGCTCCCT